TAGCTATTGTAGAATACTCTTAACCTTGTCCAGGTCTGCTTCTGTCCCCTTTATAGTAATCAAGTACTTAAGAAACTTAACCTTTGTACAGAATAACTTAGTCTTTTTCTATAAACAGATGAGTCCTTTGTTATAGAGTGCTTACATAACCTTTCTAATATTCCTAATATGTTCTGCCTCAGACTGTAACCAGATAATAATGTTATCTAAGTAGACATAACAAATTTTCCTAATAAGATACTATAGTGCCTTTGTAACCTACTACTATTACATAGCTAGTATATTGTATAACCCTATTAGTATGACTGTCCATTTGTACAACCTGAACAGAGTACTAATTGTAGTGAGCAGAATGTGTTCTAGGTTCATATGTGTTTAGAAGAATACATTAGTCATGTCAATCTTAGTATATATGTGTTCTTGAATAGTGTTATTTATAATCTTATTAATGTAGGGAAGTAGGGCACAATTGTAGATTGTGTTACTGTTTAGGGCCTAATAATTACATACTATTTGTAGGAGATCTACAGAATCTGCCTTTAGGATAAGGAACATAAGTAATACATACAGGCTTTCCAACCTGTACAAACAACCTGTTTAAGTATACTGATTAATGAGTGTGTACTAAGCCTTCTAGTATTTTTGCAGACAAGTATAAGATTGTATAACTACTACCTTAGAAGGATCTTTAAACTGTATTTTATGAGTAACACCTTTAGGGAGCTCTGTAACTAGTAGTATTGTATCTAAGAAGCAGTCCTAATACTGTTACTTTAGTTTCCTATCTAATGTCTCAAATCTCTCTAACTCAGCTAAGGTTTCTATACACTCTCAGACAGTTATAGTCAAGGTTAGTATAGGCTCTAGGGTTCTGTAAGTTGGCTGTAGGGTACAAACCAGTTCTGCAATTTCTGCTTTTATTAGATTATAGTTAGAATCCTTTAGAATAACTGTCTAGCTTTCTATATTAATAATAATCTGATTCTTCTAGAGAAAGAGTGTACTAAGAATCATTTCATTGTACAAGTTATTAACTATACAAGCCTTTACAACCTTTAATGTCTATTTCTAATCTGTTAACTGTACCTGTAGCTTCACCTACTCTGTAATCTGTTTTCTTAACTCTTTTACTAATTTGATTGTTAGAGTCATAATAATGTGTTTCTTAAGTAGGAATTACTTAAGACTCATTCAGAACACTAGTTTCTTATTAATCAGAACTGTGGAACAACCAGAGTCAATTATAGGTTGGATCTGGATCAGAGTAGAACTGTCTTCTGTAAGGATATAGTAGTCTAGAAATAGGAGAGAGTCAGAAATCAGGACATACTTAGATTCATCTCTACTTACAAGTTCTAACACTGTAGACTACTCTGATTGTACAGGAGTAGTAGACTTCTGTTTTGAATGTAGGGACTCAATATATACTTCTATAATAGGAACTATGTCTTCTAGTTTAGATAGACCTATTAGGTAACTGTCCCCCCTATAATCTATAAAGGGTTTATAGTATTAGAAACATCCCTGGTTCTTTATTAGAAGCTAGTACTCTGTATAGAACAAGCTAATATACTTTATAGTACTTTCTGAGACAGTCTTTAGACTGACTGTTGTAGGGATAACCTTTTCTGTATACTACTTCTCCTGATCCTTCTTCTAGGCCTGTTCTACTGTGAGTATTACTTCTACACTGTTACAAACCTTTGTACAGTCTGCTTCTAACTAGTCTGTCAATTTACACACATGTTCTAACCATTTGTAGAGTCTAGTACAATCTGTTACTTCTTTTCCTAGGACCAGTTCTAGGGTTGGGAGGTGATTTGTAGAATTAGGAATCTAGCTATTTACTAAGGTTACTACATACAACCTTTCTGTATATATTACAAGCTACTTAGAATGTATTAGAACTAAATTTACAAGTGTAAGGTAAAGTTTAAACTAGAGGTCTAGGTGTAAGTTAGCTTTGAGAAGTTTGTAAAGTCTATTAGGATTAAGGTACTAATCTTCTAGAAGACTGAAGTTGATCCTAGTAACCTGTAGCTATTATTCTCAGAAGTTGTAACTATTTTACAATATTACTAGCAGTCTGTTCTGAGTTTGTACTACTCAGTCTATAGAGAGTATTTCACACTAAAGCTCCTAATATAATGTGTCTAGTGTAAGCCCTTCAAGCTTAGACTAGTCATACTTACACTACTAGTACAGTCTACTGTCCTGTAAACATTCTATTACAACTATAACTATACAGGTTGTAAGGACAGATTTGGTAGACACATACTTGTAAAACACAGAGATTTATAACTAGAGAGTATATAGTATTAGGTTGTCTAGAGTTAGTATTAGAGGCTTTGTTATACTTTCCCAGACTATCTAGACTTTAGTAAATGTAGTACAGAACATTATAGCCTTCTAGTAGTTTAGAGTGAGTAGCTTACTCATATTACTTTCTAGTTCTAAGAGGTCTAAGCTACTTACTAAATCCAAACTTAAAGTTACTATAAATGGTAGTAGTGTAGAGGAAGTAAATACAGCTTCTCTAGTTAATAGAGAGGCAACTATAGTAGCTTCTAAAGATACTTAGTACTAGGAGAAATAAGACCTAGTTATATATGACTGAGAAGAGAGCTAAACTTGCTTTAAAGCTATAGTAGTGTGTTTAGAAAGGCTAGGAAGCCTTACTAACAGTAGGGAGCATTCAGAAAGGCTGGGGGAACCTTACTAACAGTAGGAGATGTTTAGGAAGGTTGAGGGAACCTTACTAACATGTAGTAAGACAAAAACTACTTTGTTAATGTTAAAAAAAAAGTAGAACAGTACTAAGGAAGTGCTAAACATTGTTACAAACAAACTCTGTTGAGTTCTGGGTTTGCTAACACATGTAGAACACTGACAGGACAAAAGTATCTTTGTTACAGTTAGGAATAAGAACTAGTCTATGTATATGTAAGAACTCACCTTTGTTATAGTCAGGAATAAGAACTAGTGTAACAAAGGTAAAAGATCAAAACTATATATACTAGAAATGAAACAAAGGTGGCTCATACCTAAAGGGGAAAACAATGCTAAAGAGAAAAAGGAGAGTGTATACACTTAAGAATGAAGAGTATGTGACTCAGACAATAAGGAAACATAGTGTGAAGACAAAGGAGGAAATGTGTGTGACTCTAGAGTCCATACTAAGAAGGTCTAGGCTTAGGAGAAGGTCTGGGTTTGGAAATGTGATTCTATACTAGGAGAGGTATGAAACAGTATAGAAGCTGTTATAAGCTATAGGGTAGGCTTACAAATTATTGGCTTCAACTTGGAAGCACAAACACCTTAAAACTATAAGACTATTATGATACAGACAGATGAATGACAGAAGGACATAAAGTAATAAACAGTTATGTCTTTCAATTAGCTAAATCAACCATATCCTGGTCAAGCAAACAGTAAAACCTGGTACTACTATCTGTTTACAAAGCAGAGTTGTAAGCACTAGTGTATACTACTCAAGAAGCCATTTGGCTCAAATGATTTACTGAAGAAGTACTACAGACTGAATTAGCACCCATTACAATTTATTGTAATAATCAAAGTGTAATAAAGACTGTAAAGTCTGACAAAATAATATACAATACTTATACTAAACACCTTGATTTACAAAAAGACTTTGTACAATGTTACATTCAAAACAATTACATCAATGTATGCTATGTCCAATTGTAGAACCAATTAGCAGACATCCTTATGAAAGCTCTCCATGTCCTGCAGATCAAGCATCTAATCAAACTATTAGGTATACAGTCCTATTTCTTAATTAATGCTTGAAGGGGAGTATTAGATTGTGCTCTGGATTAGGAAATCCCTAATTGCCTTATGTAGAGTTACTACACTTGGAATGTCTTGGACTATCAGACTTTACTAAGTAGTATATAAGGCAGACACTTGCTTGATGTCTCAATAAGAGAGAGTTTGGGGGCACTCCTGCTATGCTTATTAAAACCGCCCTATCAACTGGAACAATGGGTTCTTCGTCAGTGTATGCATATTTCGCATCGCTTTCTTCCAGACTCCCCGCCCGGCTCTTCTTCCCTTTTTCCCTTCGTCTTGGACGTTTTCTTCGTGCGCCTGCGCCTTTCCGTCGTTCCAGGAAAAGCCAAGCTAAGGAGACCGAGTCCGGCATTGGTAATACAGAGACATCGGACTGTGCGAGTATCGATTGAAAGAGCAATGGTGATGATGGATTCACACTTTGAGATGAATATAATTAGACAAGCTTGGTATTTGCGAAGGACAGGGTATTTGCATGACGAATCCTTTCATGTCAACTACAAGCCACCGTGGGAACTTCAGTTGTACAGTCTCCTTGCCTAGTGGTGTACTACTCGAGGGCCAGTATTGATAAGATATCAAACCTGGATAGATTGGGCATTACAGAGTGTGTCACTTCACTTATCTTAAAGTTAAACCAATACACCGGTTAGCTAAGGCGATGAAACAGTCGGAGTCTCAACTTGCCTGTGACACGTATCGGCGTCACAGGGTCTGCAACTGACTCCTGAATCCTGATGGGCTATAGCAGTCCGAGTTACAAACAATGGATATCCGGAAAGCTGTGTTGTTACTGTCATAATACAGAACCACAGCGCGGGAAACTGCCTACGACTGCTTCAGCTTCTGTATCGCGTGGTCCGTGGAGACTCTGGAGAGCATCCATCCTGACTTGGAGCCTTGGACTACTTCCCACGTCTCACGTGATGAGATATCGGACAACCAGCAAGCAACATTTCATTTGGCAGTGCTGAGAGTCCTTAGTATCTACTTTTATATAATTTTAGTCCTACATGTTCATCTATAGGCAGTAAAGAAAATATATAAAAGAGAAATACTAGATTAAAATAACAAGTTTACATTTAACAATTATGCATCAAAAACTTAAAAGTACAATCAGAAACAACATTAACTGTTGAACTGATAATTTTGTTAACATACTTTTATAACTAATATAAACAAATATACTAAATTTTTAAGAATGCCTTCAACCTCTCCAGCATAAAAGAGTCATGTGCTTTGTCCATTAGTGCCCGCCGCTCTACACCTGGAGCCCATACTATATTAGTGTTCCAAGATGCTGGATATCTACTCTCCTTGTGTTTGCCAACCCAATCAAAATCGATCAGCATAGCACCTCCATCCGGTCTAGAAACGATATTTTGGACTCGGAGGTCGCCAAATACAAGGTCTTGCTCGTGTAGCAGTTTGACTGCCCTCTCCACGTCGTTGTATATCTTCTCACGATCCCGAAGCTCCTCCTGTGTAAAGTAGAGTGAGGTGCCTTCGACGTAGTCCATAATGACCATGTACATGTCGCCAAAGAGGTGAATACAGAAGTGCAACGTTGGTGCCAACCGTTCTTCGGCAAGCATCCGATGTGCATCTTCATGATAATGTGCAGTGAACTTGACTACAACGTTCACCTCGTCGCCAGATCCGCCTTGCCTCATCTTTGCTCGGTAAAGAGCGTACGGCCTCTCCTGTCGCACTTCTTCATTATCCTCTTCACTCACAAGCTCTCCCGTGTGCGATAGCTTGCCGAGGTAAGTCAAAGACGGGATATTTGAC